ACAACAATAAGTGGGAATGCATAAGCATTCCCACTTGATTTAAGAAATAAAGGTTTGACCTATGAAACATTAACAGCATTGCTATTTTAACAAATAAGACTTATATCATGATTTTACCAGTTAGTACATGGTGTCAGCTGATAAAGACAATAGTTTTTATAAAAATGACCTTTGCTAACAGCTGAAGAAGTTATGAACTGATGTTTGATTGGCCACTGGGCTTTCTTTATGTTTGCAGGAGAGATTAAAGATAAAACCCCAATTACTGGAAATGGATGTAAAGATGATAGCTGAGACTATTTGTTGTGCTTTTTTGTCACCCATCATCTTAACATAAAATGTACTGTACTTTGAACAGCTACAGTTTCAGCTGCAGGCCGAAACTGTCTTTACCAACATTACACGTCTAGAGTCTATTCTTTGCAGGATAGAAGGGGTCGATGAAAATGTCCATGGTCTATTGTTAACTCACAACAGGACTTCTTTTAACAAAGCTTTCTTCTTGCCAGTCTTCAATGAAGGTAAAATTAGTGGCATGGCTGATAAATGTGTCAGCCATGCCACATTCAATACACCATGTCAGACCTGGGCCTCAGATCTCTGCCGCTTTCTCTGCCTTGTCAGTTAGGTTGGTTGGTTGGGGTTGGTAGATTGGCAGATGTCTGTATTCTTTACAGTTTAGGAGGATGGACTGAACAGTGTTTAAAGCATATATGAATGTCGGATCTATAAAAATCTAAAGCATTAAAAAAAAATTTGATGCTATTTGAATGCATCAGAGTAAATATGTTGAATCCAAATCACACACTTTCAGGACTTTATCAGAATTTCTTTGCTTTTATTATAAGCTTTTTTTTTGCTTGGTCATAAACTCTCAGCAACATACGTCCAATTCTTTCAAATGATATACAAAACATACCAACAGTAACCTCTCATTGTCAAAGCTTTCTTTAAAAGGTAGATGCATTTAGGATATTTTTCATATAAAAATGTTTTATAGTCTTCACTGGTCCTATATTAAGCCAAACCGTATAAAAGATTTTATGTGCTAGTTGTTAGTTTGCTGATCATACCTTTTTTTCAAGTGTAATTGAAGTTACAATATAAAATAGACTTCTCTATATTCCAGTACATGTTCTATAATCTCTCACCGGATGACTTTGGTAATGATACATATACTTATTGGTCATTGTCAGCCTAAATCATGAGGGTGGAGTGAGAAGACATTAAGCAAAGGTCTCTGGATTTGGATTTAAACCCAGAATAGATGCCTTAGGATTTAGACCTCTGTATATGGGCCTCGTGTTCTGCCCACTGCTACACTCAAACTGTGAAGCTTTCTACAGTTAAAGTGACCTGGTATTTTACCTGTGTTTCTCATGTCTGCACTCTCCGGCAAGCCTTTGTTTGTGCTTTCGTCTGTAACGGTGAAGGCTGTGTACATGCAGATGATGTTACAGTGCTTGCTTGTCTGGATGGCCTTCATACGGTATCGTTTTCCTGACCCTAAGGAAAAACTACTGTAAATGAAAACTAAAAAAAGAAGGACAACTTTGATAGCGTGTGTAACAGTCATCACCATGTCCAGTGTCGCTCTCTTTTTCTGCTAATTTTTCAAAGTCCCTTATTACTGAGCGAGCCGCCAAGTGGTGAATGATCTCCTCCCAGGGCTTTCCTATATCCTCCCCACCTGGTTCAGATTCGTTGACTCCTGGGATATCCTGTTCCTCAGGTGGCCAGAGATGCCCCACATTCACAGTGACCTCCCAGGAAATTGGCTTTCCACTTAGCAGGCCATGAATGATGGAGCGACACTGACCTGGGGGAGGATCTTCAGGCTGAGCAGCAGTAAACAGATACTCTGGGTCAGTGAGGCTGTCCCAGTCCAGGGGTGATGCAGGGAACAGGAGTCCATCTGGAGGATCCAAAAGAGGAATTTGATCTTTAAAACCACTTTTTTTTTGCATGCAACAAATCATCAGATTATAGATTTATCACCACTATCTGATATTAAATCAGACTAAATGTGCCCTGCTAGGTCAGTTAGAATTAGCACCATGTCTGAATACTGAAATAATAAACATAAGAAGTTTCCTCAAACTTCTGTATTGCTTTGCTCAAAGTCTGATGTTCATACACACCAAGATGACTTTTCATCTAAACAATTTGGAGAGCTGAGTTGATTTCTTACTAAGCTTCTGATAAAATAATTCATTACATTAAATCTACATTATTGGCCTTTATTTTATTGCAGAACAAGGAAATGGGCAGATAGAGCAAAAGGAAAGACTTGCAGTAAAGAGTCAGGATAGACTATTGGGTTGAGGGCTAACCTCTATGGTCATTCCTCTACATGTCGTTGTTCTTTATGTCAACATCTTAAACACACAGCCTTGTGGTAAAGGTAAAAAAAAAAAAAAAAAATTACCAAAGTTATAAGCAAGAAAGGTTTAAACTATAATTAGTTTCTTATTTTGAGAGCTCAGAAGGTCTTTGCTCTTTAATGCTTTAATTGTGCAAAACCAAAGAAATTTACTTTTTTATACCCTTCTTGAAATACGTAGACTGTTTTTGGGTTTCAGGGATGAACTGAAGATGGTATGAAAGCTTACAACTCAACTCCATAACAAAGGCAGAAGATCTTGTAATATGGCTGGCTAAAGTGGGTTGAGGGAGTGTCATTATGCACAGTGACACAAGGGTGACATGAGAGCTGTACACAAATGGGTAGTAGGGCATTAGGATAATCCATTACTCCAAAAGGAAAATGAAAAACCAGGTAACAATTTACAAATCAAAGCGCAGCGAATTGATTCATTTTCTGAAATCTATCCAATTGTAAGATGAAGCTGACAAAGTATTTTGATCATTGATTTATTGAAATGGGAAATTTACACGCATGAATGCAACATTTCAAGTGTATTTGGATGTTTTTCTAAAGAAATGGCTGATGTGCATCAAAAAATAGATGGTATCAAAAAATAAGAGCCTTATGTGGAAGAAGGAACAACGTGGATTTTTTTATATTGTCAATAAATGAATATATGCTGCTAAAGTAGTTAGTAGTAATTTTGCAGCCTGAACTGATAGGTGTGTGAGCAAAGCAGATAACAAGCCTGACTTAGTTACAACAGTCCTGCCGAGAGGAAGGGGCTTGAATTCCAGAAAACTACTGTAGCTAGGAGGAATAACTAAAATGTTTCACCAAAATCAAAGAGTTAAAAAAGGCAGTTTAACCAAAACGTGCTCCCTTTTTAGCAAATAAAAATAATGTCTGTAATCTTTAATGACCAAAAACAAGACTATTTCAGTCAGGGTTTCTTTTTTTAAATGGTGTATAGCAGTGTTTTTTCAATCCTGGTCCTTAAGGCATGTTAAGGATGTTTCTGAGCTTCAGCACACCTGATTCAAATGATTGCAGATAAGCAAAGCCTGATAATCTGCTATCAATTGATAACAGGTGTGTGGAAGCTGGGAAACATCTAAAACATGCAGCGCAGTGTGCCTTGAGGACCAGGGTTGAAAAACACTGGTGTATAGAGTTAAATCACTGAGTAAGGAAAAGTCTTTTTGTGCTGTTTGCTCACTGGAGTCAGTCAGGCTTCTGTGGGAAACTGTTCCTCTTGATGGAGGCCTAGTTTCTCCATCACTTTCGTCCAGCCGCCCACCTAGAGTCTGGTCAAAGGAGACCCTCTCGAGGGCTCTCCGGAGGCGATGCATTTCAAGTTCACCCTGTGGTGATGAGAAACTTCGTGCTGCCATGGTCGAACGAGCTAATACTCTCTGTCTTCTTCGAGACTCTTCACCTCCATCCAGGCGTCCATTCTGGTGGCACAAGGAAAACAAAAAGAAAGAAACCCATAAGTAACTGAGACCATTGCTCTGATCTAAAGCTGGATAAAAACCTTTAGTTTTGTTTTTACCTTTTTGGTTAGATTGTCAGGAGCTGAAAGGTTTTGCTGCCATTCTGAGTCTGCCCAACGAGATAAGGATGAAGGCTCTGGAGGGGCCATCCTCTCAAGGCCTTGAGGTAAAGACCCAGTTTCTAATACTGGACCACAAGAGTGGGGGTTGGAAAGAAAGCTCCCACCTGCAGAGTCAGAGCTTGAGGCATGAATGTGTACGTGGGACTGTGTTTGAAGACTTCGTTCGCTGCTCAGGGAGCAGTGAGTGAGAACGTACTGCTCCTGAATGTAGGAGCTCTGCTGTATCCTCCGCCTTATGTCACTGGACCAATCCAGCTCCACACCTGGATTAGACAGAAAACAGCTATAAAACACAACAAAGTCTCCAGACCAAAATCGGTGCATTGATCAAGGCTTCACCTGGGTTGATTCCAAGGTCAGTGTCTCTGGCACAGGAAAACTCAGAAGAAATTTCTCTTGAAATTTCCCTCAGAGCCTCTTCCAGCTCGGTTCTGTCTGAGTGCATCAGAACAGGCATGAGCTCAGAGGAGGGAGTTGGTGTAAGCTCTTCATTCGAATGGGTGAAAACAGAAGCCATGGAGTCACGGTGCACACCTCTGCTGTCCTGTCCTTGGCACTGGACAATAAAATGTGTACACTGCAGTTCTCCCTCTAAAACCTCTCCCCCCTTTTTTAGCTTTACAAACAAAATCTTTAATGGAGAATACCCCGCAGTATTTATTTTTCTGTTTTGTCTGTCACATAAAACCAAATAAACTACATGCAAAACAATTCTGAAATGTATAACTTATTTTGCAGGGCACTGTAGAAATTCAAGGAGAAAATAATCAGGACAAGCTCAAAATTGTTTTGAGAGACAACATACCTCTGACTTCTTTGTTTTGAAGTTTGTCATATCATAAAGAGTGCAGTAACCGATAAGGCGATCCCCGGGATACAGAGGAGGAATTTCATTGGGTGAAAGAAGGGCCTCCATGTTCTCTGGCAGGTACCAGTCAATCCGAACATCAGTCAGGACAGGTTCAAAGGCCTTTTTCAGAGACTTGATTAGCTGTAACAGAGTAAGGAGATCACAATAGGGTTTTCAGACGTTTATGGCCTATGCAGCGATATCTACTGTATGGCAGATTTCCTAAACCACAGAATTATAGTCCCCAGTGCTCCTTAGCTCAGTTTTTCGATATTCTTAATATTCTAACTTTGAACCAAGATGTCAGGGCAGTTCTTGATAGTTATAATACAACAGCTGAAATTGATTAGACTATTTAAACGATGAAAAGCGGTAAGGCACCGGGGCCAGACTGTTTCCCTATTGAATTTTTCAAGAACTTTACAAGGACCTCATGGGTGATGTTAAGGGGGTCAAACGCACAAACGGTCTTTATATGCAGATGACTTGATACTTTACCTGTCCTTGTACCTCTATTCTAAGGGCATCAGCAATTACCTCTAGCTATGGAGAGATTTCAGGCTAAAGAATAAACCTTCCTAGAAGCTTGTTCCCCCCTATTATGATCAGGCTTGACAGACATTTTTTGAGGCATATCATTGAAGGAAAATTGTGACACTTTATTACATCTTGTCATGTTAGTAACCTGCAGCTACAGTGATTTATTCCAGCAAAGCTTTAAACTGGCCTGGGCTGTGGCACTGATGATTGGGGGTTTTGGGGGGTCGCAGTACTCTGAGTGCCGATGTACAACGGTTTAAATGTGGATTTTGGCTTGACGTGTTTGTGTAGGTATGTATGGCGGACCAGCTCTACCTTATTTAAAAATAAATAAAGAAAAAAAAGCTCAATAAATAAAATAATCATACAAGTAATTCCCCCCAAAATACAATAAACAAATAAATGTAGGTAAAATTAAATTATACAGTGAGACATAAATAGTAGTATATATCTCTTTTAATTAGCTTCTTTATTTATTTGCCTTTGTAATAATTACCTTATTGTCTGTTATAATCTTCAAATTTATATATTAATTACTAATTTTAAACTATTTATTTATGTGCATTTTATAATATTTTTGTCTTTTTTATTCTTCCTTTGTATTTTTACCCTCTTTATTTCTTCAATGCTATTTATTTCTGCCTGTCCTACAATTCTGAATGCATTTCTCCCTCATTATGCAAATGATTAAGGGCTGTGTCTCAGAGGGTCAACTTCTGCCGTTGGTTGGTTAGCATTTTACGTTGAAACTCTATCTCAAGAGAGTTAAGGCAATGTAGGAAGATACTATGGTTACACAATGTTTTGACACTTGGAGCACAATTTGGACATATTCAATTACGGGTGCACTCACTTTTGTTCCTATCAGTCTATTAATGAGGACATCAGTAAACTTATACTGCTGACTACTTGACATTATGTCAAAGTGCAATATTTTTTTTGGTGAGATAACTGCTTATGCGATAGTGTAAAAATAAAATGTATTGTAAAACCATGTAGCAGTCTTACAAAACTAGTGAGGATGAGACTGTAACTGCTGTGTAATTAATTGTTTCCCAGTAGATGGCAGTGTTGTACTGAGGCTGACCTTGGGCTGGAGTCTCTCTTCATCATAAATGAACTCTGTAGTCCCTCCAGTCAGTTTGGCAATTCCCTGCAGGAGTCTCCTGCAGGTACGGGGACCAAGGCCGAAACCAAAGCATCTGCCAAAGGGATACAGGTTATTAGGGGTTGATAACCAAAGAGACAGAGTTCATTATCAGCATTCATTGATATGAGAATTAAAGGACAACAAACACGTGCACAGATTCCAGGGAGACAGTTAAGATGTCTTGGAGAAAGTCAGAGCACCAGGAGAATACTAATGAAGTATAAATGGAGTTATTCTGCATGGGGAAAACTGATGGACGTGACTCTTACTGCAGAGCAAAGCACTTAGTGGGATTACTGGGTGGGGCTAAAAAATGTCTAAATCCTTTTTTTTCTCTAATGGATGCTCTGTTTAGCACTTGAAAGGTGATTTGCTTGTACCTCACTCTTTTCCTCTCCACAATATTTATTTCCTATCACATGTGGTCCACTGTGGATTTTAACAGTATGACATAATCCTCATTCAATCATTGTTATTCATTACCACTTTGTTTACAAACCTGCCAGCACACGTGTTTCTGCGAACCAACTCCAGCACCTTCGCAACATTATTGATGGAGCCATCAGTGATGATGAAGACCTGCCGTGGATACGAACGCTGCATGGGCTGCTGGTACATCCAGGACAGCGCTCCCTGAAGGTTTGAGCCACGCATATCTGCTCTCATCCTCTGAATGTACTCATAGGCCTGTATGAGAGTTACCTGAGTGCATAAAGGACATAAAAATATGGATGCAATTAGATGTGTTATAAAGACTTTATCGACACCTGTTCCACTAGACTGCAAAAGCAAACACATGAGATTGGTTTATTGTTTGATGTCAAATCCTCAGAAGAAAATAAATAGGTCTGCTCCTCTCTAATAAAGACAGCACAAACATATATACATTAGCACCTGCTATAGTTCAGATATTGAGTGGGAAAAACATCCCTGGCAGGATAGGAGATAGAAGGACATCTCCTGCCTGAGTGAAAATACATGAAAGGCCACCATATGGTGTGGAGAATGTGCAAAGACTGTTTGTCCTTCCAGTCCATAGTCTGGATAAAACCTGATACTCTGCTACTAAGGCAACGGCAGAAGGAGCCCTGTGGCCAGACTGGAGAGTAGAACAGGTAGTCCAGCATGTTTAAACATTGACACTTGGGATAGAAGAATCAAATGATGCTGTTATGCTCTCCCTCAGGAAAAAACACCAATACAAACTAAAACAACACAAGAAGTTTCAGCATGTTTTAAAAAACACAAAATTTGCAATCTTATTGGTTTAGCATGTAGTTTGTTGCACTGCCTGCCATGCTGTTTGAAATTATTTTTATTTTCGCAGGTTTCTTCAATGAAGAGGCAAATTTTTCCTTAATAAAATCAGTAGTGCCATATTTTTCAGTTCCCCAGCTCTGAATAGTTTTTAACACCCATTGTGGCAATGGAACAATTTACTGCTATATTTGGACACTGTTAAGGTTTGATTTGTTTATATATATATATATATATATATATATATATATATATATA